TCCGCCAGACCTACCTAAGCTTGCATGATCTCATCAGTCCAAGGGTCCTCGGTCGTGTTGACGATATGTCGTGTTTTGACGATATATCATGACGCAAAGCCACACACCAGCGTCGCAGCCACAGGTTTAACTGGACCCAACAACCGCCCCGCGTCGTTTCCCAGTGACGCCAACTTGGGGCCAGGGCGGTGTCGGTGAGGGACTGGGGGTGGCCCGGGGTGGTGCTGGGGGATCCAAGAGGGGGGTGTGGGAGGGATGAGAAGGACTGGGGGAAGGACTGGGGGAAGGACTGGACGCTAGTGGGGGGTCTTTCATTGGCCTGCGGAAGATCCGGCAACCTGTTTTCTTGAATCGGTGTCACCCCGATCATGCCTTCTAAGCTGCGTGTGGTTTGGGGTTGTTCGGGCTCGTCGCGTGGACACGGGGTAGGTTGTTTCCCAGATTCTACAATGTACAGTGTTAGGTGGCCAGGACTCAGGAGTTGGCCCATCGAGATCCAGGTCGTCGTCATAGCCACATGATGAAACGCCACAGATGGACGATCCCTGAGGCGGGGGCGTGTGCTGGCCCGGTGGCCCCCAGTAAGAGACTAAGAGTACACTACGTGTAGACTGGCCACATGCGAGGCGGAAGCTTATTCGACCCCACCCCCGGTATTCCCCGTCACATCCGATCGTCATGTTTCTTTGGACATGGGGGGGTGACAATTTTAGAAAAAGAAAACAGGAATAATTAATACGAGGTTCGTAAGCTGGGCTCGTCTTCTATTTGCGTCGTCTTCAAACGAAATGACGTTGACGCAGGCAGGGTCCAAAGGACTGCAGAACCCCTGAACTCCCTAAAACGACCACGCTATAGACACATGCGCCTAATCTATTATGATACGCCCGAGATTTCACCTCATTCCAATGTGAATGTTAGGATTCTCACCTCCATTAAACACCGTGGGTATCTTGATAATAAGCTGAACTCCGTCGTTTGTAGACTTGACATCCAAATAAATCTCAGAAGGACTAGGCGCTGCTGTTGGCCTCGGCCTGCTCCGACCGCGAGCTTCTTGAGACGGCCTTGGCCGACTGCGACTCCCTGTGCCCGTGCGTCGTCCGCTGGCTTGCCGGGCCAGATGATCGGGGTCAAAATGGCCGACGACATTCCCGCTCGCGTCGAGAATGTTACCGTGATGATCCACCTTCAGCCCGTTCCCCATCCCCTGAATCGGCTGCGGGGAAGGGGGAGTGGACGGCCGTTGCACCACGTCGTTTTCCGCCACGTAGCCGACGACCTGGCCGTCCTCGTCCATGATCTCGCCCGTCGAGGACACGGGGCGGCCGATCATGGACGGCAAGTCGCCGGCGGCACGGCCGAGGACCTGGCCGTCCCAGTCGAGGATGTTGCCGAATTCATCGACGTACTTGCCCTCCAGGCCCTCGACCAGCTCGGCGAGGTTGGGGGGAATGGCGAGGCCGGAGGAGATGGGTGTTACTTTGGGAATTTGGATGGGGGCATTTTGCCCTTCTGGTTCTCCATTCTCGTCCCTCTGGTGGTCACCAGCTGCTTCGTCTTTGCTTTCAGATGGTGGTGATGGTTTGGCTGGAGTGGGAGTCTGGTGACGGGTCAGTTCGGGTGAGACATCCTCGGTGCGCTCCGTCGTGGCCGGGGGCGGCGGTGAGACATTGTCCCTGTGTCGCCTAGACTTGGACGTCGACGTCGACGTCGATGTCGACGCTGATTCTTTCCTCGGGTGGAGAGGGATCTCTTTGGACCCCCTGACGTGAACGGGCCCGCTTTGGTTTTGGTGGGGTGGTGGCTGATCCGATGAATCGGTGACGCCGTCTGGTTGCTGGGACGTTTGGGCATCCTGTTCGGACCCGAAATCCGAAGGCGGCGCCCGAGATTGGGAGGTGAGACGAGGTAAGGCGGGACGCCGTTGGCTTCCCGAGGCGCGTTTTGTCTTGCCGTGCTGGGTCTGCTCTGATGGACTTGTGTCTGCGTCCCGGTTGTCGATTACCGCTTCGTCATTTTCGTCATTTTCCCCATTCTCCCGGGATGGTTTATGGGGCGAAGTGGGTGAGTGAGATGGCGACACGGCTGGAGTGTGATGAGATGAAGACGATACAGGGCCGGAGCCCTGTTGGTCCACAGGGTTAGCAGTCTGCATGGAAGGGATGGAAGGCCGATGGGATGGATGGCTCTTGTTGCCGTGTCGAACGGAGTGGGCTGACGGGGGGTGGTCTTCCTCCTAGCCGGCTCGCGGTGGGGGGTGGATGTCGATCGATCGCGAAGGGATAAGAGTCAAGGAAGTAACCCAAAATGACTTGGGAGGGTAACGACTACAGCGATGAGAAGACAAAATCCGCTGCGGTTGCGTCAGAACAAACGTCACAAGGGGTAACTTTGTAAGAAGGTAGGGAAGGGATAGTCGGAGCCACGACGCTGTGGCGTAAGGCAGGGGAAAATGGAAAATGATATGAAGATGCTGAGAGTGGGAAGGGAAGGTGTGAAGGGAGATGAAATGCAGAAAGGGGACGTAGGAGAAGAGGGAAAATGGCGAATAGCCGACGGATCGGTCTTCTGCCTTGATTTTCCGACACGCTAGAGTAGTAGAGCCTAGGGGTGCTTATAACTTACGTTTGCGTCCGGGCCCTCCGGGGTGTAAGTGTACACGCGTAGTAGAATTCTGCGAGTTGATGCGAGAAAAGGCCGCGGTGATGGAGTGCAGGAAGAAAACACAGACGCTGGTGGAGCGAAAGAACGAGGCAATAGGCGGGTTGGTACAGAGTACGGATACGGAGACATCTCCAAAGGAGAAGGAGAAGGAGAAGGAAGGACTGAAAGAGAGGGAAAGGAGACCGATGACGTCGTTCATATCCCGTCCAGGCTACAAGGGTGTGTCTCGGGTAGATGTTTGGCTAATCGATGAGGCCCCTTGGCAGAGCGGAACGCATGCATGCAAAGTACTTTGTACTTTGTACTTTGTACGGTGAAGCAAAGGTGAAAACATCGAGACGCCGCCTAAGAATGTACAGAGTAGGTACCTACCCCAGTGAGAACCTTGGGTCTGTGCCCTGACTCGGTCCGTGCACGTTCTGGCTGGGGCGGGAACCCGATGTAACGGTTACAATCGGCATCGCAAGACTGTCGACTGTCCGTCCACCTTACCTTATCCGTACTTCATGTCTGCAAAATTCCCAAGCCAAGTCTATCTATATACATACCTCTCGACGAAGAAACTATCACAGGAATTGACACAGCTTGTCATGTTGGATTCAGGGGTTTCAAACCCTTAAACCCTTCAACTACCTTAATGAGTAGGTATATAAGCCAGTTGGACTAATATCACATAATCACGCTGCCAAATAAAATAAGTCTCCACTTTCCCATCTCTCGTCATACCTTACGTTGGGTCAAAGCTGGGAAACAAGTAGCAGGTTGGTATTAATAACCTGGGGGCTCTATTATCATGGGAGCCAAACCCCGACTTTATGCTCTCCCAGCTATCGTATCATAAAGGAGTTCCCGCGACTCCCGCCTCTGCCACAGATGGCACAGACCACAAATATTGTAATCATACCAAAAGAAACGGGAAACAATAAAATATCCAAAAAGAAAATCATCCCGACATGTCTTGGTACAACAATAACAACAACAACAACTGAAAACAAAAACATTCGCCGCCAAACCGTAATATTTTGCGTCGTCGTTCAATTCCTGCGAGGAAGACACAACGATACCAATTAGCCCCATCTGATCTGCCCACGTATATCTATGCATGCGTATGCTTGTTTTGTTTCGCGATGTTGCGGGTAGTAGTATGTATTGGGAGGGGAATGAGTCGTTTGGTATATTTCAGCCCGTCCTTTGGTAGAGTGGGAGGTAAGAAACCGGACGGAAAACTGATAAAGGGGGGGGGAGGTGCTGAAGCGGTGAATGGGAGAAATGATCGCTACAACGACAGACGGGAAATGCCATGAAAGAACTGGAAGGTGGAAAGGTAATTGAAGGGCAATCGAAGGGCAATCGAAGGGCACGAGAAAGGGGAATGAAAGTGTACTTACAAGAGCGCCAGTTCTAAATCACCGTGAATTCTCGCCTTCAGGGTAATCTCGACGTCGAGATTCAGATCGAGCCGTAGGCGGAGGGTATCGCTCTTCCCTCCACCGCCGTCCTGGTTCTGGAGGGCGCCGCCCGCGACGTTGCCCAGCGTGTTTGTCACACCGCCCGTCACGCCCTGCACCGTGTCGCCGACCGAGTCGACGCCGCCCAGTCCGCCCAAGGGGCCGCCCGACTGGCGTTTCTGCATTTGGCTATCCTCTTGTTGCCGCTGCTGCTGTTGTGGCCTGCGGCGTTGCCGTCTCTGCCGCTGGGGGGCAACCGGCTGGGGGTCTTCCGTGGCGCTGGCTTCGTCTTCCGACGCGTACTTGGTCGTCTCTCGGCGTGGGGAGGCCATGTTTTCTGTTTGGTTCTTCGGAGAAGAGGTCTATGAAGGTTGGTGTTGGGTTTTGACGTTGGTGTTGATGTAGCTGAGCTGCCGTAAGGGATCTGGCGTCCCCTTAAGTGTATGTGACTTGTGAGTGTTATATGAGTAAAGGTTGGAAAGTGGAGATCCCCGAGTTAGGCTGGGTACGGGAGTTGAAATGGTCGTTGAGCCAAGTACTCTTAAGCCCTAGTGTATGATTATTTCGTGATGATATAGGACAGGCCCCGAGATATAAAACTGGGCACCTGGAGGGTCTTGGAAGGACAAGCTCTTTTTTTCACTTTCAGGGTTCACTCCCATGTGAGAGGAAGAGTGGGGTCGCGGTATGAGATCATGCTTCCCGGAGTCATGCACCGCTTAGCCTTTTCCTTTTCTTCACTTTTGGCATTTTGTTTTTCTGTCTCTTCTGCGATCTCAGCTTGTGTTTCGTCACTTCCCCAGGAATACTCCCTAAACCTCTGCGAATCCCGATCATCGATGACCAGCAGGCCAGCCCCTCCAACCCTGAATGACGTCAAATATCCATGATGGTTGTCTGAAGTAGTTGAGTACGTACCCAACTTGCAGCCACATGCACGTACCTGCTGATGACCAGGGCATACAACTGTACGCCCCTGGTTCTTAATGATCGACATAAGTGTGGCTTGTGGCCCCGCACTGCCGTTTCATGTTTTGAGTGGGGGGGCTAGAAAGCGGGATGGACGGTTGTGAGAGGTTCTCGACCCCTGGTCAATTTCCTCGTGTTCTTCTAATTACGTGTCCGTTTTTCCTTCTTTCTCTCTCCCTCCCTTTTGTTTTTCTTTTCCTTTTTATTTTATTTTACATTTAACAGGAGAAAAAGACGTATTATTCGTCTTCATCCCACATCCAAGGGCATACAACTGCTTGATGACGCACATGTTTTCTATTTCTGTCCCAAACCCGATGCTGCTATTCGGGCGGTCGAGACCCTCCACAGCACCCACACTCCGCAAACGCCGCCGTCGTCAGCGCAACCTTCTCCTAGCTCCGTAGTCTCCATGTTCGATTGTTCGTCGCCCGGGTTAGTCCCTGACATAGCGACTATCCACGCCCAAGGCCAACTGACGCCGCAGTGTCACCGATACGCACCTTTCGTCCCCCAGCTGCTCTCGCAGCACCCCGTCTGGGTCCCAATGAATCACCCAACGGGCCCTCGCCGCCTCCTCCCCTGCCTCCCCCGCCTCGGCGCCTCCTCCCTCCTTTTCGTCCTTTTTGTCCTTTTTGTCCTTTTCGTCCCCCTTGTGCTCTTCGCCTTGCTCTTCGCCTTCTCCCTGTTCTTCCTTGACAGCCACGAATCCCTCTCCACCCCCCCTCAACGTCAGGAATTTCTCGTTCGGCGTCCAGTGCCACGGCCCGACAACGTGGCCCACCGTGTCCTTCCGGCTGCCGTATCGCACGGCGCGTGTGTCCGCATCCACGAAGATCCACCCCAACGCCGGTGGGTTGTCGTTCGTCATGCTCACCAAGCCCATGAGCTGTTCTTCGCCGGGGTACATGAAGTACCACCCAGAGAATTTGAATCCCTTGACCGGGCAGGCGCTGTGGTCGACGTATAGCTGGGAATTGTCTTTCTCGTCAGTTGTTTGTTGTTTGGTACTGTTTGGTGATGGTAAAAGGGGATAGATACATAAGGTAAATTGTGATGATGATGGATGAACTAGGCCAACTCACCTTTCCATCCGTCAACACTCCGGTAGCCTCTTCTTCTACCCCGTCGATTGTTAGGGTAATGCCGAGAGCGAATTTGACCTTTTCCTTTTGCGCTTCATTCTGTTTCTTTTGCGCACTTATCGCTTCTCCCACGCCGATAACCGTGGGTATGGCCGAAATGAAGAGCAGGCCGAGAACCATGGTGCCTGGGTAGCGAGGCTGCCGAGGCTAGCAACAGATCTCATGTTCCAAGTGCCTGCTTTGTGATGTAAGGTCCGCCTGGCTTTGACAGCTTTTCGACGGGCTCCTTTTTTTTTCTCTTTTTTTTTTCTCCCTTTTTTTGGGCTCCCTCGATTAAATCGGATGGAGCGTCTGCTCTCGAGACTGCTGTCCTGTAGGCTGTAGCTGTAGGCTGTCACTGGGGTCTGGGGGTGGGGAGACGCCTTCGTCATATGTCGCCCCATCTCGATTTCCGCCCTCGCAGCCCCTCCAGGAATCCCCTGTTCAGAGCCCTGACCTGACCAGTTGCATGAATTAATAGCCACATTCACTAATCGTATAGTCACCCGTTCCGGCGCCCCTACACTGTACACGTACACTACAACCCGCCAATCCGACAAGCAACCACCCAACCACCCACCCCATCAGTCAGTCACCCACACTCCACGGGTCTTTTACAACGGAGCCAACCGCTGCCGTTACGTCATGTCTACCCAGACACCTTGAGCTCCAACGTTCCCTTGGATGCCTGTAACTTGTAAGGCCGGGTCCGTCAAGACGTCAGCAGAATGGTTACGATCTAGCTATCCTTGTTCACTCCCACTCGGACCCTGCGTGCTGGAACGGACCCTGGAGATCGGAAAGAAACCGGTTCTGGGTCGTGAGACCACAAGCGTGAGTGATATCAGTGATATCACTAGGTCGATGGAGAAACGTACGCGACAGACATGAGAAGCAGGTCTTGGTCTCCCCACCTCACTCTTATTACATCACAAGACTTTTTGTTTCTTATTACGCAGTTTTTCCCTTCATATGATTGATACCCTGCTTCCCCTCGGACAATATTCTGATTTAAGCCAGCTGGCCATTTCCCCGAAAACACCTGTCACGACTAGGCCGGTTTAGACTTTTCCTCGCGCGAAACTCTCAATTCCCCATTGTCCATTGCCCATTGCCCCTTCAACCGTTATCAAGGTGAGTGTTAATATTACTCTTTGTCAACGTTCCTGGTCAGACGTTCATGTGGATGGGATGGTTGACATGCCAACAGCAGCAGCAGAGCCTGCAGAGGAGAAACAACAAAACGCCGTCAGGAACAACATGGCGGACGCAAAACCCCAGAAGGATCAGGTCGAGCAGGATCGGCCTGAGGAAGAGACCCCGCAGGTCGAGTCACGGCCCGACGTAGGCCAGGCCGAGGCCGACAATGACAACGAGAACGACGCGGAAGGCGACGATGCCGGCCGTGGCCAAGATGGGCTGAGCGAAGATCGGAAGGAGGATCAGCGACCACAGCAGGAGCAGGAAAAGGAGCAGCCGCAAGAGCAAGAGCAAGAGAAGTCGGAAGAGAAGTCGGAAGAGAAGCCGGAAGAGAAGCCCGACGAGAAGCCCGAAGAGAAGCCCCAGCCGCAGCAGCAGCCGCAGCGGCCGCGGAAGAAGAAACAGCCGCAGCCAGAGCAGCAGCCACAAGAGCAACCCAAGCAACAAATGAACGGGAATGATCAAGACCAGGACCAGGACCAAGACCTGGACGACGACTACTCGGACGAAGAAGAACCATACTCAGACGAGGACGACCAAGCCTACTCGGACGAAGAAGAACAAGACAACTACACCACGGCCCCCCCTCCGGCGCAGAGGCAAGAGGAACGACGACCCGCCAACCGAGGGGATGACGTCCCTCGCACCATGACCGAGCAGCGGAAGAACCGCAGGCGAGCGCGCTGGGCGGAAGAGGAGGACGAGGAGGACGCCGGTGCCAAGCAGATGGCGCCTCGCCGTCGCGGGCAGGACCCTTACATGCAGCAGCAAAACCAGATGCAACAGCAGATGCAGCAGCAGCAGCAGCAGCAGCAGATGCAACAGCAGGGAGGCGGCGGCGACAAGAAGGATCCGTTGAAGCTGCGGCTTGATCTGAACCTCGAGGTGGAAATTGAACTCAAGGCGAGGATCCATGGTGATCTTACGCTGGCTTTGCTGTAAGTTGACGAGGTTTCTCTTGTTACACCCAGAGTCACCTTTCTTTCCCCTTTCCTCCCCTTTGCCCCCAGTTTTCTTTTCCTTATTTCCTTCATCCCTCCTTCTCCTTTACCTCTCCGTGATACCCGAGGGAGGCTGAGGCCTCCCTCGGAAGGATGTCGTCCTGGCATGTCCCGCTGGCCCCCCTTTTTTTTCTCATCCGTCTCACCCGAACGTCGTTTGGTGTCGCGTCTGGCTGCACCCAATGTATGACTGCATACTCGTTTGAGTCGCCGCTAAAGATATGGTCGCACTCGCTTCTGGATCATCGGACTGGACTCGAGGCGGCCAGGGCTGGTGTTTCGGAGAGATGGTCGTACAGTTGTTCCACCTAGTCCAGCCTCGTTTTCCTCAAAGTCCTTCTTGTCTCGGCCTTTGTCCTTCCCTACCCTTGGCCCCTGGCCCCTGGCCCCTTGCCCCCTGCCCCCTGCCACCACACTCCCCCCCCTTCCCCCTATTTTCTGATTCCCTGCGAACACAAAGGCTGACGGCATAGGGATATGGACTAGTGAGGGTTTGTGAGAAATCACAACACGCCCCTTTCATTTATATATATCATGCACAAAGCCTACCCGTCTGCCACTATACTGACAAGATAAGGGGGTGAGATAAATGACTCGGAACTGGAGTGAAGGTGGTTGGGTAGACTTTTGGGCGGGCAAAGCATTTTCCATGCTGGGAAATTAACGACGATAATTATTTCTTACTTCTGTCTCGTGGTTTAGTTTTGGGTGTTGGGAGGACCCTGGACAATATCAGCGGCTTTGCTCTTTGCTCTTTGCTGTGCTCTCTTTGCACGAGGGAACTTGGGAAGTGCTCCCGTGTCTGAAATGTAAGCCTGGAGAAGCGGATATGTACAATATGAGGCAAAACCGGTGCAGGAAAGTCTTTCTTCTCTGGTGGCATTGCCGACGACCGATGACCCCTTGCCAGAAAACAATACGATATAAAGAAAAGTTCGATCCTGCCAGTTCAATTTGCCCAAGCTGCCCCCCCTTCAGCAAGAGTTGAGCATGTCCCCCCAGGACCGAGTACTCGGCAGAGCTAACGGTCAAGCCGTAGGAAGCCTTGACCGCAATCCAAGCGTTCTTCAACGGCACCAGATGGTCGATGGAGACATCGCTGGGCACGCTGTGTGTCGCGGGGTCGAAGGGGCTGGTCCAGGTTCCGGAGGTAGGGTAGCAGTCGTTGCCGGTCTCGACGCTGTCGCCGTCTCGTCGTAGGACGTACTCGCTTTGTTCACGGGTTAATTCGGACCGACGCTGGACGCTGGACGCTGGACGCAATCCAGCCATGGCAGTGTGAAGCCACGAGCGACAAGCAACAGACGTAAAAGACTGGCACGAAAGCTGGAGACCAAGACCAGCAATAGCATCACGGTATCACCCACCGGGGACGTGGTCAACAGGAGCCTTTATGTAGTACCAGTCCTCCACACGACTTTGACCAAATCTCAATGTCCTACAACACACCTCTCTGACATCTCCACCAAAACTGGCGACTAGCATTGATGCAACGAGTGTGGGTATCCATTCCGATGAGGTTGCAGACCCAGAGGGCAGAGGCCAATCCAATGGTCCTATAGAGAAAAGCGATATGCCGTCACCTGTGCCTCCGCGTCGACCTGCGCACATATAATTATAAAAGAGGTTGTGCCATCGGGCATCGGTTCTTGGCCTAATCGTGGGAAATCTCCTTCGATGAGGTGGTGATGGCCTGGAGTCGCCCATATCTGTATCGTGGCTGGTTCATCAGTTGGTTCGAGAGGACGCGAGCACTAGCCTGGGAGTACGGAAAAGTGAACGGAACGGGGCTTGTCCTCGTTTGAGAAGCCTAGGTACCTAGAAACGGGAAACTGTCACGTTAGATCACGTGGTCATTCTCATGATTACCAAATTAAGGCTGGGATATGGGCTCTGTGGCTGGCAGACGTGGCTGAGATAATCAAGGTGGGGTTACTACGGCAAGCGGCAGGACGGTCTATTTCAACTTCCAAAAATCCCAAAAAAATTCATAGACAAACGCCCGTACAGGGGTGTATAGACTCGTATATAGTGGTACGCTAGTAGCAGGAAGAGCACCTTAATAGCATAGCCCTAGGCCAGCTAACTAATCAGAAGCCTAGAAAAGTTTTCGTGCCCCTACACTACTATAACGCCACGCCTATACAAATCTTATTTTCCTCTTTAGATAACTAATAACGAGTTAGGTAAATAAACCCACTTACACCCTTATATAGAGCTATAGTATTAAATCAGGTATCGGCATTTGATTCTATAGGGTTAAATCTACTAGTATCCTTATCTCTAAAGCTATTTTACACGTTATGGTTGTATACCTTCTTACTAGGCAGTTAGCTAATATAGCAATATAACGTATAAGCGGTTATAAATCCATACAGATAAATACAAGGATAATTCGCAATATAGCTACTAATACCCGTCGCGTATAGTAGCTAAACAAGATTACTAATAACAAACTCCCTCCCGCGCCCGTAGTACAGCCCTCTAGTATAAAGGGGAAGCAACTAACCGTATATATACTAGACTATACGTATCTATATATCGCTATAATATTAGGACTAAGCTAATAGATCTATAGTAATTAAGAATAGATACTCGAGAGATATCACTAAGTATATAGTAAAGAAAACGCCGGAGGTATATTATTATATACCCCTATATAGCACTATATACTCACACATAAAATAGATCCGGCGCGGAATCGTACTATAGCTTAAATACGAAAAGGCGGGTAAAATAAAATTACCCGATTTTAATATAAAACGCCCGTAGGCTATTACGGGGTTTTTTATTTAGCTATTTAGCCAGGAGCAGTTTAACGATAACCGCTACGAAAAGTGCTAGGATAAGCACAGTAATTTAAAGGGCTATATTACCTTAAACGGCTTCGGGAACGGAGCCTACGGTAATTACTATAACGGCTCGGAAGGAGCTAAGTGTTCGCTATACTATAAGATACCCTATAGATCCCTATAACTCTGCATAGAACTATACTAATTAGATTTATAGTCGCGAAGAATAAGAAGCGCCGCGTCTCTACTATAGAGGATACTAACGATACCGATAGCTCGGATATATCGCCCCGTAGCCTTTAGGAGATAGCGCGATAGCTTAAGAATAAAGCGGACCGTAGTAAGTTACTATTCTTACACGTATAGAGCTTTACAGATATATACTAACCTATATGTTAAGAGGAAAATAAGTAATCATTTTTTTTTAAAAAAAACCACTTTTTCTTTAGCTTTTGTGTGGTAAATAATACTACCTATTTTAATTTTTAAAAATAAGCTTTAATAATATAAAATATATATATATATAAGGTAAATAGTATAATACCTTATTTATTATATTATATTATTTATTATATATTTAAATAATAAAAGATAACTTATATTTAACTATATACTTATTCTTATATTTATTTCTGAATTTATTCTTATATAATGTATAGTATTACTTATTACTAGTACTATAAGTAGCCTTAGTAGTATTAGATATCTTATACGTTAGATTATAAAAGATAGTGAGAGCTACTAATATAATAAGTAATATAGTTAACTAATTATTACTTATTATACTACGCTATTTAAGAGGCTTTTTATTAGTAAAGAGCTAATATATATATATATATATATATATATATATATATATATATTACTTAAGTATATAACATAATATACTTATAAGATAATAAAATAACATTACTTTAAATAAAAGCAATTAATCTTACTAAGACTCTAAAAAGTATAAAACTATTAAACTAAGGCTATATAGCTGCTATATTTTATACTATTATAAAAAGCGTCTTACTCTTACTATACTCGTTCTAAGTTATATACTATATCCTTTAGTATTTAAAGAAGTTTACTCCTATTAGTCTAGCTATTAGTCTAATTTATATAAATAGTAGGTATAATAGGGTTATTAGCCTCTCTTAGTACTATTTAGGTTAAGTACTATTATATTAAATATAGGTTTAGGCCTAGGAAATATCCTTAATATATATAGAATAAAGCTATTAATATAATATATTTAAATATCTTAGTTTTACTAGTCTTATTACTATTCGATTATTTAAATCGAATTAAGGGTATATAATTAACTTATTATTAGTTTCGACGCCGTGAAATTAACTAATTAGTAATTAATTAATTAAATTAATATAGCTATCC